TTCACCCGTTTACATGTTTTTTAACAACTTGAAAATTAAAAAAAAAATTGTCATAATTTTTTTTTTGACAATTAAACACCGTTATAGGTACGTTCATCATACATTTCCATATTTTAATTTTTTAAGTCCTTATACCATTCCAATAATTGAAATAATAGTTTACAGACGATATTTTTAACTGTTACCAATGAAGGTAAATATAATATTGCTAAGTATTATTGGGTTACAAAAATTGTTTAGAAGACATTTTTGTCAAAGCATTTCTGTCAATTTCACGGTTACCCGCAAGGAATTTAAATTAATTTGGCCAATTCCTTGATGATGAGAATCATCATTCCTGTAGTAGTGTTATTGAGAGAAGGACCGCTGAATTCCTTGCTAATTTATTGAGTGCTAAGTATTATTGGATGGAGAACATGGTTTGTGTTAGTTTTACATATATAAAATAAATGGGTAAACGGTTACCCGTTTATAACCATGGTTAATACTCATAACCGCCCATTTAAATTTTGCGGGCAAACGATTATACCCATAACCGTTTATTTATCTAAACGGTTACCCATAACCATAACCGTTTAATTTAAATGGGCGGGTAACCGCGGTTACTCATAACCAATGAGTATTTGCCCATCCCTAATCCCAACTCTGATAAGGATCCTCACCGGATCCTGATGATCTTTTAATCGTAAATCGTGCGGTTAGTTTTCGTCAAGGACTATTTATATTCAATTTTAAATAAAAAAATTTAAAAAAAATTATGACAGCATGATCTACGATGATTGGCACGATTAGAGGATCCTGACCTACTCTAGTTTGGAAACCCATGCCCTACTCAAGGTATGCTTTTAACGTTTTTATTTTTATTTTTATTTTTTTTGAGAAACCAAAATAACATTATTAGAGGGAAAAATTCCGGGAACACCCAAGACCCTTAGAGTCAAATAAAAAAGCATCAGAAGTAGCTTGAGGTGCACATCCCACCCAGACATGAAAATTCTCTAAGCCATGCTCACAAGAGGTGATGACATCAACTACAAAATTAGCTTCCCTAAAAATATGATTCCAGGAAATAGATTCAAAAGAAAAGGCCAACCATTTAATGTCTTCAATGATAGCCCTAATACGCCAAGGAATGCTGCACTTTCCCAAGATTGCTTCAATGACAATCTTCAAATCCCTTCAATCTTGACCTTCTTTAAACCTCGAGATTGTGCCATCTGAAGAGCATCCCTAGCGGCCAAGGCCTCAGCAACAGTGATTGTGTTATGACCCAGCTTCCTTGACCCCTTCACAAGAGATCGACCGTGTTAGAACCCAAATCTCAAACCCTAACTCAAACCTTAACTATTACACATAGAAGAGAAGGAAGGAGGAAGATAGAAGGAGCAGAGCTCCGATATTTTTGTATTGATTTGTTTTGTAAAATTCTGTTCTCCATATTAGAGGAAGCTGGGCTCCTTTTATACAGACTATACTCCTTAAAATGCCAGCTGGCATATTTAACAATTCAAATTCAAGCATAAACCTCAATTACATTTTGGGTTCATAACAATATTCCCCCTTTGAAAATTAGCCTTGTCCTCAAGGCTTAAAATGGAATTGTGGAAGCCCTCCTAATTAGTTGCTGTCCTCAAAGCACCAACAAGTTGAATCCAAAGAAGGCACTCATCGGCAGATTCTTCCCAAGCCTTCTTCGAGTCAAACTCCTGAACTTCCTTAATCAACTTAAGGCATAAATCCCAACAGATAGGGAGAAGATTGATGAATTCTCTTTCTGAAAAACTAGTATCTTCACTGGGCAAACAAAGAGACCTACAAGCTGCCAATCTTACAGATAGGTCTTTGTCCTGTAGCAATTTGATAAAAGCCCATTTGGATTCAAACACCTCACTCCTTTTGGCAACCAACTCCGCCAAAACTATATTCCCATAAGTCCTATACGCAAAAAGCAGAGATTTCCATATAACCACATCAGGTTCAATAGGTGTATCTCTGATGAATATTTCAACCTCATTTAACAGATTAGCACGACCAAGAAGATCCCTCATGCATCTGTAGTGTTCGATTCGAGGATTGAGCTTATAAATTTCAGTAATGGCTCCGAAATGGTGAAAACCTTTATCCACAAACCCACCATGACTGCATGCAGACAACCCGCCGCGGAATGTCGGCTTCACATCACTCGACGCTTCCATTTGTGAGAACATTTCCAGTGCTCCAACAGATTCCCCTTTCATAGCAAGACCAATTATCATGCCAATCAAGGCATTCTTCACCGATATGTTGGTGTAAAAGCCGCCTCTTTTGCAGTATGTATGGACACATTTTTTATGGTCTAATGCACCCGAATGCTCGCACTCAGATATTACACAAACAACCATTGTTGCGTCAAAGTCATTGATAACCCAAGGTCGAGGGACAAGGTTTTGACAACTAACTAAAAAGGACATACTATACTTTGAGAAAACTTCTGCAAGCTGTGCATAAACAAGACCAAATATATTTCCAGCAACCATTGCTTCGTTGTCAATAGAATCACTAAGATCCAGTACATTCTCAAGCAGGGATACGGCCTTGGCATTCTCTTCATCCACATGTCCCAACCGGTCCAAAGCCTTAATTCTTGACAAAGCTGAGATCATATACCCAAGAGCTGAAAGAGATTCATTGATGTTTTGAGATTCCGTAAGACTTTTCCCTTGAACTTCAGTTTTTTCTTGTCTCTCACTGCCACCCAAATTCAAAAGCCAAAGCTTGCTCATTGTGGACCCTTCAGCAAACTTAAGCTTAAGTACATCAGACTGTGTAACCATCGCTTGATTTGCAGACACCATATTGTTGAATTCGGAAATCCCATCATCAAATTTATGCACTTCAGAAAAGAGTTGAGAATAGTCTTCATCCCTCGACTTGACTTCACTTTCTAAATTGTCAGCAAGAGATATATGATATTCACAAGACAAAAACTGATCAAGAGATTGAAATCTGCCCACATGCATTGATCGTAAAGAAACTGTCAAACTCAAAGGGGAGGCTTATTTTCTTTCTTTGAGAGATACAATATCAATGTCCTGATTGCAGTCTCTGTTGGTCCAATATGCAGCAACTTGTGCAGCAGCCATTGCATCATTGGCAGATGTTACAGCTGCTTTAGCAGCTGATGCTGAGTCTACAAACTGCATATGTCCTTTTTCACCACCACTTGTCCTGCGTGAAGAACTAATGTTTGGTTTATTAGTCTTAACAGATTGAGGTTGCACACTGTGCACAGGCATGCTGGTAGACTACCAAAATTGCATCCTTGTATAAGCTCTTCTAGAGGCTTGAACAGCTCCTGTTCAGATTTCGATGTATCCCACTCAACGTGGTATTCCTTGGCTATCTCTTTCAGGAGTTTCAACTTTACTTCGCCCATAGGGATTCTAACAGAGAGCTTGTCAATCAGCATGCGATTCACACCACAGTTGGGACGTACATCAACAGCCTCAGATACAAAATCTTTACCATGCTTTTTCTCAAACACATTTGTTAGTGCGATCAGTTCAGAAATCTCAGAACACCTGGGAGAGGCAAATATTAAACTAGCAATTCCTTCTTTGAGACTAGGCAGACACTCCATTTGCTCTGTGATGATAGAAAGTCTAGATACTACTAATTCACATAAGAGCTCAATGAACTCATTGGCAGCCACTGCCCATCCCCTCACAAAAACTCTACCTAAAGCAATTGTACTTCCATATTCAAAACCAAGGTAGCAATTTAAGTCAAAATAATGGAGCTGGATGGCAAGATAGTCGAGATGGAGAACTTCAATACTGTGAACCAGTGGCTGAATGAACATATTGTCATTCTGTCTCTTAGACATTTCATCAAACATATCAAATGCATATAAATTTTTCTTCACAAATTTACCCACAAGATACCAATTAACCCGTTCAAATTTATCTTTCAGGTATGCACCGTAGTAATCAGTCAAAAGAGAAGGGAATGTAGCCTCCGAAGTTGCTTAAAATGATACTCAAATTAAGAACAACTACCTCAGGTCCAGTTTTCGTAGTATCAGAGAACGGGTGCTCATGGAGTAGTGGCGGAGCAGAGGTCATCATCGAAGTATGAATCCCCGTATTCGATTTCGTAAATGAAACTATAGCTGCAGCGGGGTGCTTCGAGTGTGGCTTGACGGCTGAAGTTGCCAGTGCTCGCAACAACGGTGAAGATGAGAGCAGCGGTGGAGCTTGGATTGCCGACGGAATAAGCTGCGATTGGGCTCCTTCAGCACAAATTGGGCTCCGAGGTAGCTGGATAGGCTCAATCGCAGGAGAAACATGATGATCAATGGCAAGAGGGGCAGAGATGCCTACCCCAGCACCTCGAGAAAGCATTCCCCGACGAAATCTTTCAAAAGAGGCATCAAAGACATTGTCGAAGGCCTTGGCGTACTCAGTGGCGATGAGGGAAGGTAAAGAGGCGATGAGAGCCGCCAAGGAAGCCTCCACGGCATCAAGACGGGACGCCAAGGCAGAGTCGCAAGTAGCAGCGGATCGGCGGGTGTGCACAGAAGGGAATCCAGGAATCGATATGGGTGATACCATTGTTAGAACCCAAATCTCAAACCCTAACTCAAACCTTAACTATTACACATAGAAGAGAAGGAAGGAGGAAGATAGAAGGAGCAGAGCTCCGATATTTTTGTATTGATTTGTTTTGTAAAATTCTGTTCTCCATATTAGAGGAAGCTGGGCTCCTTTTATACAGACTATACTCCTTAAAATGCCAGCTAGCATATTTAACAATTCAAATTCAAGCATAAACCTCAATTACATTTTGGGTTCATAACAGACATTGATGATTTCTAATAATAAAACCTGCAGAAGCAGAGGTACCTACAGCAACAGGTATGCTTTTAACGTTGAACAAACTAATTTATACAGGACAATATATTATTAGATATATTTGGCATTCTCTTTAAAAATAAAAAGTATTTCTCACGTGGCAAAAGCCGCAAGCATGCCTATATAAATGGAAACAAGCCCTTATTTTTTCCCGCAGGAAATAAATATAGCGTGTTTTGTGGAGCAATCGTACGATTCAGCAGTGCGTCGTCTCACTCCCAGGTACCAATCTTTCTTTCTCCCTCCTCAAAATCCGTTCTAGGGTTCGTAATTTTAGGGTTTCTTTAATTCAATTCACACATAATTCTCAGCTGCTGTCAAAATTTGGGGTCTTTTCTTCCTTCATCGTTTCTCTGACTTCAATTTTGTTTCTTTCACTGTAAATTTTCTAGGGTTCTTCACCCCCTTTAGAATTTTTCTATTTTTATTTCGTGCAGTGCGAAATTTGTGATTTGGGTAGCATGTTTTCTGCTGTAAAAATTCGTTCTTGATATAAATTAACAAGAAGCACTTTTCTTTCAATTCAAATTTTCAATGGTGTTTGGTGATTATGTCTTGTTTGAAGACCACTTATCATCACAACCCTCAACAGATTTTTAGGGCCTTAATATCTTCGGAGACCCCGTAGTCTCCTACTCCTTGTACTTGTCATGCATTGCAAATTTCGCATCATTCCGGTAAACATTTTACCAGAAATGGTTTAACCCTCTCTACGCGTACCCGGCACACCCTTGCACAGACGGAGTGTGTGTAATTGTTAATTGGATCATGTTTCTTAAAATGATAGTGGGGATTCAACATCTATGTATGTGGAGTGCGCAGGTGATCAGGTTGCTGTATGTTTTTGTTAGTATCTTTTATGCGAACTAACTGGTGTAATTATGATGATAGGACAGAAATTTGTTGAGAAATGGGCAAGAGAAAGGCCAAGGCTAAGCCTGCAGCTAGGAAGCGAACGGACAAGCTGGATACAGTTTTCTGTTGCCCTTTCTGCAACCATGGGAGCAGTGTTGAGTGCCGCATGTAAGTTTCATTTATCTGTTTTCTCCCCAGTTTTGGTATATATATCTTCTTAGGACGTTGAGTTCTGCTGGTTTCATTTGTGGTAAGAGAATTGTGGTCTCTCATAAATGGTGTGAGAAATTGATGTATGTCATTGTGGATAATGGGTCACTGTATTACATTTCCTTTTCCATTTGTGTGTTTTGTTTACGAACTAGCATCTGATTGGGTAGCGTACTGGCACATGTATTTTTCTCTCATTTTGTCTTGAGTTGAAATAAAGTAAGTTATTTGGTTTCAGTGACATGAAAAACTTGATTGGCGAGGCTATCTGTTGCATTTGCCAAGAGAATTTCAGCACAACCGTCACAGGTATGTCAAATACTTTACTCTCGTCTTAATATAATATTGATGCGTAGTGTTAGTATAACAGGATGGAAAGATCATTGATTCATTATCATATAAATATTGGATGTAGCAATTAATACTGCATGCAAGATGTAGGGAGGAATAGGTAAATAATTCAAAATGGAAATATGTTTCTGAACAGACTTGTGATTGTTTTGATCACAAGGTATGGATTGTTATGGTATATGGACAGAAAAGGACGGCATTAGGAAATTTGGGGATAACTCGATTAGAAAATTTAAATCGAATGTCCATCAACCTCACATTGGTAAACTAGATAGAAAGTTTCTTTAGGTTGTAGAAAAAAGTAATAAACTCTGATTTTAACTGATTATTTTGTTTAGAACTTTTTTTGTTCCACTTCCATATGCATTCATAATTACTGATCTTTCTTTGGTTTGTTTATGCAGCTTTGACCGAACCAATAGACATGTAAGTAGAAACTGATGTGAATTTGTTCATGTTATTTTACGGCTAGCGGGTTTATTGAAATTAGTTTCTCTTTACCTTTACCTGTGTGCTTGACCATAATTTTTTTTTTTGGTTACAGATACAGCGAATGGATAGACGAATGCGAGAGGGTCAACACTGTTGATGATGATGGTGCTTAGGTGGAAAGTTCAGTCGTATTGCAAAGGAAAGAGAGCGCTGGAAAGTATGTGCCCTGGTTCCAATTAAGTACTGACGAACCTTATTTGTGCGTTGGTTGTGAACGTAGTAGTTTTGAACCTCGTAGGCAAATGTAGATTGATATCATTCTGTATTTTTTCTTCTTGAGGGGGCATATATAAATACATGTACTGTAACATAATCTGAATGTTATAAGATAATGGAATAACTGAGGTATTGTGTTGCTCTCCGTTCTCTTCAATTTACCTGTTTTCATGCTTTTTGATTATTTACTTGTCTATGTACAAAGATCCTGGCTGTGTATTATACGAAGGATAAACAACCTCCCGCCCTCCCCCGCCCCGTTAATCGCATACCTTCGACTTTAGAGGTATGAGAAGATATGAGATGTATTTATTTCTGTTTATACTCTTTTGTCGTCAGTATTCACGGAAATGAGAATCATATCCATTCCTCGTATGTAAACATGCTGCGATAGATACTTGCTGGAAGTAGATATCGATTGCGAGCACTACTTACCTGCTTGGGGAAGATTTGCAAATGACATTTTTCAGTTTGAAAGTAACCCTTGCCCCAAATAAAGTTGAAATAATAAGATTTACCAAAAAACCTAGCCATATATAATATGTGGGTTGAGAATATAATTGGTCCGGTTTGGTTTTTTATTTGGGTTGCGATAATATGATCAAAATTTTCAGTATGGTCCGATTTGGTTCCCCAGTCCATCAGAACCACTTACCGGAATTGTTAATAGTACGGTTTTGTTAGAGTTCGTTTTTCTTCCATTTCTTTCTTTACTGCATTTTGAAGAAAGTAATTCTGAGAATTGAGTTTTTACTGTAAGTGTTGAGAATTGAGTTTTTTTTTTTTTTTTTTTTTTTAGTATATCGATACTTTTACATTAGGGGGAGTGAAAGTTCAGCTAAACCACACAATGGGCAGTCTGATTTGATAGTGAATTCGCCATCCACGAGATTCGAATCTAATATCTCTCACTTCTAAGCAAAGAGGAAGTGATATAGAAAATGAACGGCTGATATTAAAATAAAAAATTTAAAAATTATGAAAGTTAAATTTAACAACTAAAATATTTGTAAACATAAATGTTGTGTTACGTAGCATAAAAGTCATATCCCAAAAACCCCAATACTAGGAAAAAAGCTAAAAGGGCCTTGCCCCAAAGTTTGATTTTTTGGGCTTCAAAATCACACAACTCAATCCAAAAGGCCAACCTCTCTCTCTCTATCAGTCTCTCTCCCTCTAAATTTCGGTAACGTTTGTTTCTTTTCCCAGAATTTGCGAGTATAAATGGTTGGGAATTGTCTGTGGCCTGACACTCACATTACGCATTTTTCGAAAACCCAACTCTCCTGTCTCCGTCTCTAAAATAAACACAAATTTGAAGTTCTCTCTTGCTCGTTTGAGTTCCGAACGCAGAGAGAGAGAGAGAGCTGCCATGGGTAGGCCTCCGAGCAACGGAGGCCCTACCTTCCGCTTCGTCCAGTCTGAGGTACCTTCTCTTCTCCTTCTTCTTGTTCTTCTTGTTCTTCAATTTTATTCCTCTCTTGACGATTTTGTTGATTTGGATTGCTGTTTGTGCTTGGGAATCTGCTGCATTTCGAAATTAGAGGTGGAGTCTTGATGGGTATTTGTTGGTTTTTTTATTCTTTTGTTTTGTGCGTGTTCTAAATTTTGAATTGAAGTTGGATTTTTGAAAGCGGGGTATTTCAAATTTTGTGTATTTGTAAGTAGAAAGTGTCCAAATTTGAACTAAGAGTCGTGATTCTTAGATGGGTTTGTTAGATTTCAGGTTTTTATTTTTTATTTATTTTTGGCGTGTGCTTTTGATTCCTGTTTTGGGTTTTTCGTGATGTTACCACAGTTTTTTTCTTGGAACATTAAAAGTTTTGAACATTCGGAATTCAGTTGATCGATCTTCGTATTCTTGAAAAATATTGTTAAACTCTGTTTGATAAAGCTTTTCGTGGTATAATTCATACGGATCGGATGGCTTTGTCTTGCTGATATGTCTGTCAATAATGCCTTTGTGTTGACAATGTTGTCGGTTTGTAGTTGGATTTGGCGGGCTCTTTCCATGCGCGTTCCCCACGCTTTAGATACTTAAAAGAAATATTTAAATGAAATGGGCATAGCTTCGGAAATCATGCATCTTTTCACAACTGTATTGCTGTTTAACAAAAAGCACAGGTGGAAAATGAAAGCATCCCTTGGTGATCCCATTGCATTTGAAGGGTTTGGGATTGAAGATTTAGAGTACATCTCAAATAAAACTTTTGTGCCTTTTTTGAATCTAATTGGAATCTGCTAATGGTGTCTGCATGGTAGGACCAAAGTCCAGCTTGGGTTGAATAACCGTTATTGGTGTTAGTTTACCATAATGAGAGCTCTGTATTAGTTAAAAGCATAAAATATAGTTCTTTTCCATTTTCCGTAAGATTGTCTTTGGATGTCAATACTGTTGAACAGATAATCATATATTTCCTCCACACAATTGAATGTTTAAATGCTCTAAAATCAGTTGCTGGAATTACAACATATGCAATGTAGGTATAGAAGTCCTTATTCATAAGGAATGGAGAATTCCTACGAAGGAAAATTTCATTTTTTAACTGGTCCTACCTGTTATGTATGCATATCCACATTCCACATGCATTTATGATTGGATTCTGACATTTTTTACTAATAGCCTCCAGTACGTGCTCCTGCCCGTGCAAAAGGCTTCCTTTATTGTCATTGTCCACGTGCGCGAAAGGCTTTCTTTATTATCTTTTTCCACGCGCACTGCGCGTATCTTGATAATGACTTTTGATGTGTTTTGAGTAGAACCTTTTTGGTGCTATATAGAAAGAAAGAATAATGCCAAGCAAAATCTAACGAATCCATCTATGATGAAATAATGAGAAATATGAAAACGTATAAAGAAACAGAATTAAGTCGTAAGTGCATGAAAGTGAATCTGAATGCTTTGCAGGACAAGTTTATAAACTAAATGGAGTAATATGGAATGCACAGTAAACGACTTAAACCACCAAAGAAGTCAAAGACTAAACCACCAAAGAAGTCAAAGACTATGTACCCGTTTTCATGTTTCATACCGGATTTAATTTTTGAAATTGGTGGTGCACTGGTGCTTGATCTTAGTCTTGTAGTAAACCCTGTTGCTGAAAATTAAGGCAACAAATTAAAATTTTGAAAAGCAAACATGGAGATTAAAGAAACGAACATCCTCTTAGTGGGTTATTGGTTGCAGTGCTTGATAAACATTTCTGAAGAACCAAAAATGAGTCTTATCAGGAGCTGTTGGGTAATTGCACTACATATAATACATTGTGGGTTACGGCACATTCTTATTTTTTTCTTTTTCCTCTGATGTTCTTATGTGTGTTGTTCAGATTTGCACATTCTGGTTTTCCTTTTTAATTTTGTTTATTTGTTGTTTATCTATTTTACAACAATACCCGTCGACACAAAAACCATTCTTCAGAGGATTATCATAGGATGATTACTGATTATTTTTCTTCAAGGTAGTTGCTATTTTAAACGTTAATGACAGCATGTACAAATTGGTGATAATTAGGTTACGGAGATGGAAGCTATTCTGCAACAATACAATAACACAATGCCATCACGTGAAGTGCTTATGGCCGTTGCGGATAAGTTCAGGTGTGCTTTGTTTTAGAATTTGAATAGATTATGTTCTCCTAAGCTTAAAAAATCTGAGACATTTTTCTTTGCTGTAGTGAATCACCGGAGCGAAAGGGCAAGATTACAGTACAAATGAAGCAAGTATGACAATTTCCATTGTAATTTTTTGTAAAGGAAAATCATTTAAATCTGCTTGTAATTTAGAGCCTGCTTTATCGGCTTTGAAATTGATTTGAAACAACATTTTAATTCTGTTTGTAATTTACAATCTTCATTGTATTTATAGGTTTGGAATTGGTTCCAAAATAGGCGATATGCTATTAGGGCAAAATCAAGCAAGGTTCTTGGTAAGTTAGACATGTCACCTATGTCTCGCGATGATTCAGCTGCAGCAAGAAATGTTCCTCAAGGCCCTCAGCAGATTGCTGCTCCTGTACATGTTCCTTCTGGTAGGATGGAACCTAACTATTTTTAATTTAATATTCTTTCTCAATTTCCCTTGGGCATACTTTTCTGGTGGTATTATATGCTCATGTGACTTGTCGGACTGTTTGTTTTGTATCCTATATTAATGGTGTTTACTTGAATTTGTTTCTTTAATCATCTGTATGTGCCATAATATCTTGGACTTCCTCGTGGCTAGATTTGTGGTCAATTAACAACTTTGAAGCTTAATGTTCTAGAAATACGTTAAACTGTATATCCTAATAAAGCCATCTTTTGGTCTTTAAGTATATAAGATGCTTCAGATATAACTTACTGTAATCATTTATGTTAACTGGTGTGTACGTTTGAGTTTATGCACATGCATGAATTGCCAAGGAGGGACATTGTAGGTTTTAGAAAAAGAATTACAGTCAAATTCTGATCAAGGAGGTTCAGTTTGAAGGTTTTAGAAAATGATTGCCTAACATATTTGACCATTGATAAGAGAAATTTCTCCCTGTACAAATGGTGTGCATCCACTTGTATGAAAGAAAAAGAGAAGAATAGTAATACTGCCGCAGTTTCTTTTACATTTGAAGATACATGAATTGTGAATAGGTACTAACCAATAAAGTAGGCATTTTGCTTTCAACTTTAGTTCTGTTAGGTATGAGTCATATCATATGACACATGAGGTGGCCTACATAATATCAACTCCCCAAATGATAACATATCATCTTTCTATAGCCCAGGATTAAAAGCAGAGAATATAAGGACGACTCCTTTCATTATCAATTTTTTCTTGCTGGTGCACACAAAGTGATTTGTATTTCGTTTCTTCTTCTTCACTTTAGAGGGAAACATATCTAATTCTTTGGTTGCATATTTGAAAGTATGTCTGAAGATCACTGCTGAATGAAAAACCTTACAAATTCTAGTTAGCAAGCAATAAAAGATTGCTATCATAAAAAAGTTTTCAGAGAAAGAACAAGATCATTAGCACATCATAGTTTTTGACATGAAGTACGGAGTTATTTCATGTGTGTAGATGCTTGTTTTACATCAATTTTGAATGAAAGGCGTTATAAGATAAAAAGAAAATTTGTCTTGGTTCAACCCAATGAAAAGTGTGTGCTGAAAATTTGTAGACATTATGCTGACGCCTAGAAGCTTTACCTGGTAAGGAACACTGCATACTTTTTTTGTTTTGATTGACAATAAGGTACCACATATTACCTTAGGCATCTGGTACAATTTGAGTGCCTTTCTATTATTTTCACTTCATTTGTGCATTCAAGTATATAGTCGACCCCACTTAGTGGGATAAGGCTTTGTTGTTGTTGTTATTGTTGTTGTTTGTGCATTCCAGTTTTCATGTGCAGTTTCATTTTCCCTTTATGATTTGAAATATAAATAGAAATAACAGAAGTTGGGAGTTGATAAGATAAAGATTTATGTATTTCCATTTTAATAAACATCACATACTTCAAAAATTGCATATCTAGCTCTGTATCTGTTGGCCTGGCAATGCATTTATACATTTTGAATGTCAGGTTGACGGTATATCAAAAAGTAGAAGAAATTTGCATACAACATCATCAACCAATTCTAAATCGTATGATTAGTATGCGCATTATTAACAAGAAACATGACAATTTGTTATTATTCAATTATTCTTGGCCATATCAGAAGTAACATAGACAATAGAATCCTGTTTAAAATGCCGCTTAATGTCCACAATAGAAACAGAAGCTGTAGAAGGGTGTTGCTTTGTATGTCCGTTTTTATCTATGTTTTAAGTATACATTGGATTTTTTCTTGCCCTTATTTCGTTTATTGACCAGTTCCAGGATCAGGAAAGGGTGCTTCTGAAAATGCTATCTTTGAGTTTGAAGCTAAATCTGGGAGGGACGGTGCATGGTCAGTATCTCGTTTCTTTTATTTTTATGAGTTCTAGTTATCGACTTGTTAGTGTTTCTCTCCTTCCAATAACTAGACTCATAAGGGGATTATCATTATTCTTATGATTTCATTGTCTTTTGTGTTCAGGTATGATGTTGCAAACTTTTTATCTCATAAAAATTTGGAGACTGTTAATCCGGTAATTTTCTAAGCTCAGTTTCCTTCATTTACTGCAAGTTGTTAAAAAAGGACTTGAATATAGATTTTTATTATAATGTTATCCTCAAACATTTGCTTGAACTCAAATTGAACCGACCTTCAGTCCCATTAAATACTAGGACATCTGTTGTAAAATGAATCATGCTGGCTGTTTCAGGAAGTTCTGGTTCGGTTTGCTGGATTTGGACCAGAGGAGGATGAGTGGGTTAATGTACGAAAGCATGTCAGGCAGCGGTCTCTCCCATGTGAATCATCCGAGTGCGTTGCAGTTCTCCCCGGAGATCTCATACTATGCTTTCAGGTGGCATTTATGTCTAAAGTCTTCGAAAGAACCATATTAATGTTAAAAAGAAATTCAATGGCAGAAATTAAAAGTTAAGAGAAGTTATTTCTGATCAGTTCTTGGGAATTGTATGGATTTGAATTTTTCAGGAAGGTAAAGAGCAGGCTTTGTACTTTGATGCCCATGTCCTTGATGCTCAAAGACGAAGACATGATGTAAGAGGATGTCGATGTAGGTTTCTAGTGCGCTATGTTCATGATCAGTCCGAGGTATAAGACTGCCTGTATATTTTCTTTTCCGTGTGTTTAGTCTCTCTATATCTCTCTCTCTCTCTCTCTCTCTCTCTCTCTCTCTCTCCTCGTGTTATTGCTTGAATTCATTTTAAAGTGTTAGTATACATCAATCCAACTTAGGTACTGACACAAGCAGCTGATGAAAAAGCTATGTGCTCCCTTAAATTAAACTTGAAGTTATAATGGGAAAGAAAATCATATGTTTTCTTGGCATGCTCTTATGCCGAATTATTATCATATTTAGTTCTTTTAATTTCTGAAGGTACGTTCATTTGGTCACCAAACAGTTATTGTCCAAATGGGACACTGCATCCCCGAACAACAAGGGAACTTTTCGTTTGCACTTAATGTATCGGACACATTGACAGTAAATCCTTCTCCTGCAGTTTAACCTTTTTTAACGATACTGATTTCTGTAACCCTTTGTTTTTGGCTCTTAACATTCATTGTGCCAGGAAATTGTTCCACTGAGAAAGGTCTGCCGTCGGCCTGAAACAGATTACAGGTTGCAACAACTTCATGCTGTGAACGAGGCAATATCAGCGGAGCAGAAAAGTATGGAGCAATATATGGCGTCTGCTACTTCTGGCGAAATGATGCAAAAGCAGCAGAATGCCGTGCCCCCAACTTTTTATGTTACTGCTTCTTTACCTACCCAAACTACAACTCCAGAGTTGAGAAGATCTGAAATCAGCACCGTTGTTAGATCAGGGAATTCTAGTGCCCCTCTAAGTAGTAGTACCGTAATCACAAGCGCGCCGGCTACGGTCGTGGCTCCCGGTGGCTCGGTCTCGACTGTGCCAAAGGGAAATTAGTAGGTTGCTTTTGACAAATTTGTGAGCCCCTTTTGTGTCAACACAGTTGTCATCGTATGAGTTTCCCCTGTATACTAATTTCTGAATGACAAGAATGGTTGGAAAGAACTGTGCGAGATTTTATAATTTCAACTCTAACCTTCAATTGTTCAATCCAAAAGTTTTCAACTATTTAGGGTAAATTATATTTTACCACCCCAACTTTTGAACATTGCAATACCAACTTACGAATCTGTTATAATGTTGAATTTCCGTCTTTTTTTCCGTCAATTTGTTTGTTGATGACGAGGCAGTCGCGGGTGCTCACTCTCTATTGAGAAATTAATTGTATTAATTAATTAAGAAATTTTTTCATTAATGTTAGTGAATATTACTCACCGATAGATTAGTGAAGATTACCCGAACTAACAAATAGAAATCTTGACAAGTGTGAATTACCCTTTGTAATTAGATGAGTTTAGTGTAAATATGTCGTTTTAGTAAAAGCTAACAGAGTCACTTAGTACTACGATCTAGTAATCACTAGTAAATGAGAGGTATTAGTTCGGTTATCGTCGAAGACGAATTTGAACCCCGTGATCCGAATCCCAAACAAATGTGGTCCCTACAAAATCCAACAGAACCAAGGCGACAAGACGTACGGCGGAACATAACGATCGAAACCGCTCACCTTCTCTGCGGACCGAAACACAGACACGTCTCTCTCTCTCTCTCTCTCTCTGTGATGTACTGAGCTTCTGGAGACAAGACGCACTTGATTCACTTGCCACATTTACTTCACTTTCAAACATTAAAATCTCTCCTTCTCTCTCTCTGATGTACTGAGCTTTTGGGGTTTGATCTCAAAGCGACAATGCGAATTCTTCGGCCCCGCAGCTTCAGAGCCTCAGTTTCTGAATCCAATCACCACCTCAAGGTAAGGTTCCGGCGCTTCGTCACCAGCTGCAGAGCCGTGGTGCTGCCGCGCTTCGGCGGGCCGGAGGTTCTGGAGCTCCGGCCCGTTGTCCAAGTCCCTGATCTCAAGCCCCATGAGGTCCTTGTTCGCGCTCGCGCCGTCTCCATCAATCCCCTCGATACCAGAGTGAGTCAAATTTCACCTTTTTTTAAAAACAAATTTTACCTCTTTTTTAGATTGATCCCATTTCTAAGTTCTGTTTGTTTGCCGAGAAAATGAGGGAAATGATCATTTGATTTTTTGCTCCTCTCTCCGTTTCGTTCCTCCATTTCCAACAACATCTTGAAAATTTGTAGCAATATAATGTAATGATTGTGTTCATTTGTAGCAATATAACTTGAAAATTTCAACAATAACTTGAAAATTTGTAGCTACACACACACGCACACTTTTCTAGTTATTCAGCTGCTTTTATAATGTAATGATGCTTCTGAGTGTGTTAGTGGTATGATTGTGTTCATTTGTCTGAATAATATATATTTGCAGCTTAAATTTTTGATTAATTATATTAGGCTGATTAGTCTGAAGGATTAACTGTTACTTGGTGATGTATCAGTGACGAGATAGAAAGTCATTTTCGAACCCAAATATCATTTTTTTGCGTTCTATTGATTTAATTTTGTTAAAGCTCTAATTTTAGTTCTTTAACGTCGAAAAATGTTGCCGATCTTTTTTACATTCAATTGCTTTTTCTGATTGTGACAAACAGCCGAGAGATGACTTGAGTGCCTTGATTCAAACTCACATAGAGTTCTTTGTTTTTATTTTTGTCATACGGCTGAGGTTGCAGGTCACTAATATGGTTATACCATGCTACAAGATTATCTTTATATTCAGTGTTCTGGTTTTAATATTTTTTTTCAGATGCGATCTGGCTATGGTCGTTCCATATTTGGACCTCATCTACCTCTTATTTTGGGTCGTGATATTAGCGGTGATGTTGCAGCTGTGGGAGATTCAGTTCGAGGTTTGAGTGTGGGACAAGAAGTTTTTGGTGCATTGCATCCTACGGCTGTAAGGGGTACTTATGCTGACTATGCAATTCTTTCAGAAGAGGAACTTGCACCAAAACCAACATCAGTTACACACGTGGTAAATATTGTTGTAATTGGTTTACCAAAGAACTGTAGAATGTTACCCGTTTTGGATTTTAATGATTTGATTTCGCTCTAGTGTTCCATTATTCTTCATGCCATTGATTTTGTGTTAGCGGATGGATCAGTTTTTAGTTGCCCAGCTGATAGTTTAAAGGGTGCTAGAAATTTATAATTACCGTAAAATGTTTGCTTGTTCTTTTTTTTTTTTTTTTTTCATTTGATTACTTGTGAAATACTATTTGAAAGGTTTACTAGCTTCAAAACCCAGTGAAGAGGCAAGAGAGCAACCATTCAAATTTGAATTTTCCACCTTGCTCAGCAGAAAAAGAAGAAAAAACAGTTTTTTTTTCTTCTTTTTAGCTTAGATTGGTTAGATGAACTGGTGATATGGAATGGAAGTCAGAGTTAATCAAGATACAATTATTAAGAAGCACGTTGCTTTGTCGAAAAAATATCGAATCCTTGTAGGTTAACTAAGGTCTGAAAAGGGGAGGGTGCATATCGAATCCTTTGTTGAATATTTTTTTTATCTGTTTCTACTCCCATTGTTGTCTTTGTCGAAAAAATATTGAAAGTGGTGATTTGTGAAATTCCATGCATGATGCAATATGAACATAATATGTCATGTTATCAATTCTTTCATGATTTCTGTATACGTTAGGAATTCATGGTGATATTTAGATGAGAGTTTTTAAATTCACATTCGTTTATTGCTGTCTGACAACTCAATTTGGCTTTATCTTACTCTGTGATTCTAGGAAGCTAGTGCCATTCCTTTTGCTTCTCTGACTGCTTGGCGAGCTCTCATAAGTACTGCTAGGATAGCTGAGGGGTATGTTAGTATATCTCGGATATTAACTTCCTTCCCTTGATGTATCATGATTCTTCTGTTAAAACTGTTGTCATTTTCTTTCTTTTTTTCGATTGCAAAAGCTGTTGTCGTTTTCACATGGGGTTGTGTTTGTTCTAATCTTCTTTTGTTCATCTTTTCCTAGTTAACAGTATAATAGAAGATTGTCTTTGTCCTGATGTTTCTTTCACTAATGAAATTTGTTTTACTTTATTAGAGATATTGAACTTTTCTGTCCAAAATTTTACCATCTTCCCAGCATTTTTTAGGTAAAAGCTATAAAATAAAGTACGACATTTATTTTTGATGCTATATCTTTGCGAAACACGGATTGAGAGGCAGCTTAAGCTTTATAAGGTTTCAGCTGGATAGTTGTACTGTTGATAGTTGCCATGGCCGAAGCTTGTAGAGATTTGATTATTGTATCTTATCTTGGTGGAAGCTGTCATTAACAATTTTGCATCCTTTTGTTATTGCATCTTATCTCTACAGCCAACGGCTGTTAGTTGTGGGTGGTGGAGGAGCTGTAGGTTTGGCCGCAATTCAGATTTCAGTAGCCAGAGGCTGCCATGTTACAACTACATGTGGAAAGCAAAGTATAGATCGAGTATTGGCAGCCGGTGCTGAGCAGGCTGTTGACTATACTGCTGAGGTGATGATGTAATCAACTATTACCTAGCTTTTTTTTTATTTCATCTCATGAGCTGAGTGAAACTCATTTAGAAATCATATGGGTATTAAAACCAAGATTGATTTCTTCCTTTAGTTAACGTGTTTAATTTACAGAGCATCGAATTCACAATAAAGGGGAAGTTTGATGCTGTATTGGATACCATTGGTGGTCCAGAGACCGAAAGAATATGCATAAACCTTTTAAAGAGAGGTGGGCACTACATGACACTTCAGGTAGGAGATGGGAACTGTACTTCTCTCAAAGGGACGTTTGATGTTTCCTTTCAGAGTATTTCCACAAATGCTCATAAGGCTTTTTATCCTCGTTTTCTTGTAGGGCGACGCCGCATCTTTGGCTGATAGTTATGGGATAGCTATTGGGCTTCCTGTTGCTACAGCTGTTTTACTGAAGAAACAGATTCAGTACCGGTATTCTCACGGAATAGGTAAATCCTACATTTCTTTTCGGTACATGTTTCATCATGCTCCATACTTTAAGCTCATTGTTTGTATAGTGACATCTGATGTCCTAAACGCATGTTCTGATATTACCCTTATCATGCCTAAATATATGTTTGCAATCGGTTTGTATAGCAATATTAGGTTCTACATTCGGTAAAAACTTCTTGCATTTGGACAATAGGTGTTTATTCATTAATGTTTGCAAAAGGTTCCCATGGAAGCGTATGGAAAGTGTCGAAGGCATCTTTAGGTTGTTATTTACACAGGTTGTATTTTTTTCTATTGATGGTGCAGAGTACTGGTGGACTTATATGAGAGCCGACTCAGAAGGGTTGGATGAGATTCGGAGGCTGTCCGAGGCCGGAAAGTTGAATATACCAGTGGAGAAAACATTTCCCATCACTCAAGTAATAGAGGCGCACGAGGCAAAGGAGAAGAAGCAGATCCATGGGAAAATAGTGCTCGAACTCGACTGAAGAAAATTACCTAGCCTGTACTGGTTTTGCCGGTACACTTCGACCATTTACCGCTCTATTTGGCTTTAGCATCTTCCTCGGTTATACTTTTACCATTTGTTTGGAGCATCTTAGGCCTTCTCAATGCAATAAAAACTGGAAGTTAACTTGTGCAGGAGTTGCAAGTTTGAGTTGGAAAGATTTTTTTTACCCGGTTCCCAATATGTAAATGTTTGAGAATGTTGTGTTAGATCCTTGATTGTGATTAGAATGCATCTCCTAACGACTTAATACTTAGAATAAAATCCAACTTGTTCCATGCATTTCCTGGTGTCACCGAGCTCTTTTGTAATAAGATCCAACATCTAATAATAAGTGGTTAATAACAATATTGGTAATGTTGGTCGTGACTCTGCATAGACATATAAAATGTATCATGATATCAGAGTATATAATTCTTTCAATACGTCATGAACCCGAGTTATTAAGCTCGAGCATGCTTCTTGATGTTGGGCTTTCGAAAAGATATGTTAGGCCATATTTTAATATTTTAATGAACAGTACATGACCATATTTGCCTCCGTCTCCAACCGAAGGCCAAAGGGCCAAAGGGCTCGTTTTAGCCCTGTCACAAAAAACCTTCTCCAACCGAGAGCCAAAGGGCCATAGGGCCAAACATAATTTATTATTTAAAAACTACAACTAAAATGTTGTTTAAGTTTCATGTTGTATAATTTTTATGTTGGTTAATGTTATT